TGGATGGGTGGGTGGATGGATGGATGGATGGATGAATGGACGATGGATGATATCATGTGGGTGGCCATACCGTGTGGGTGGCCGTATCGTGTGTGTGGCTGTATTGTGTGGGTGGCCGAATCGTGTGGATGGCYGTAGAGTAGGGTTCCATTGTATTTGCACCTAACATAATTGAACCAATCACTACTGGCAGCAATGTCATTCTTACCGTCATTTCTGGTTCTTTTACTTCCTCTAGTGCAGTAGCTCCTCCTCCTCCCTTTCCTCCACCTTTCTTACCATCCCCTTTTCCAACTGCTTTCTTTTTAGCTCCCTGAAAAAAAGGAAATAAAAACGTCATCATGACTTAACAAAAAATGGTTGCTTGATGTTCTCTCTCGCCTGTGATTCAAGGTTTTTTTCTACAGGTTCCCCCCCTCTCCCCACAAAAATCAACTCCTAATTCTAATCGATCTACTTGCTGTCTTATCAATAAGCCTGAAGCAAGATGACATTTTACCCCTGACTCTATACCATAATAGTTTTTTAAATTCTTTCATATTAAAATTTTTGATTCCTTAGAGAATACAGGAACAATAGTCATAATTAAAGAACAAAAGCAATGTGAAAAGGATTATGGTCTAGAGATGGGGGTAAAACGTCATCTCGCTTCAGGCTTATTGGTTGCAAAACCGGTTAGGCTATCCAGCATGTTGTGGTAAATGCATTAGATTTTTTAGTAATGATTGATGGCTTGACTTACGCCTTTAGGTGGGCCCCCTGACTTAGCCACGCCTTTTGCTGAAGGTTTCTTAGCAGCAGATGTACTTTTGGGGGGTGCAGCTGACGATGCAGCAGGCTTTGCTGCTGGTTTGGTAGTTGATTTGCTACCACCACCACTACCACCCTTGGCTGGAGCACTTTTGATCTCTGCCTTTTCACTACATTCTTTGACCTGCATCGATACACATTTTATAATAAATATAATGAAATATAATGATGTTGATGACCACGACAATGATGTATAATGATGATGATGATGGTGGTGATAATGGTGATGATGATGGTTATGATGATGATGACAATGACGATGGATGATGATAATAATACATATCTATAGCACTAAAAGTAAAATTATGTGGTGGTGATGATGATGGTGATGATGGCAATGATGATGAGGATGGTGATGATGATGTTGGTGATGGTATATTGATTAAGATGGATAATACAATAATTGATGATGGATGATAATGATGATGATGGCAATGATGATGGTGATGATGATGATGGTGATGATGGCAATGATGATGATGATGGTG